AAAATTTCTAACTCAGTTTTCTCTTATAACAAATCTTTCACAACTGTTTGCTCATGTGAGGTTATTACACATTACGTGTAATTTACTGCTCATGTTTAATAGGTAAACATCAAATGAGATTGGGATTTGAATTATTCCCACTAGGGTACCTATATTATTAATTTTTCTATTTGATTAAGAGCTGGGCTTCCCATAGTAGGTGAGGTATAATGGTCTTCATAAGGTCCCATTGTGTGTGCAAATATACGAGTACATCAAGTACCGGTCTCAATATTTGGGCTTCTTATAGTTGTTATAAATAGCAGGCTTGAAAAAGCAGTATTCCCATCAGAAATATCTAAGGACTGTAACAAGCTCAGAATAATGCATAGAGCATCTGTAGGAAGCCTAAGAGGATCTTACCAAACCCAAAAGTGGGCTTCCGATTCCTCCTACTCGGGCTGGGCTTCAAAAAGTTGCTATAAGTAGTAGGCTTGAAAAGGTTGGTGTAAATCTTTATAAAATATACTGCAGTGAGGGAACATGAGTATAAAAAGTGTATATAATTTATATATTCAGACTTTAACAAGCCGACTGAAAATCTCAGATTTTTCATTTTGGAGCTCGTAGAGTCCAAAAAACAGTATATACACCGAAGGGAATCGGAAGCCCACTTCCGGGCTTGGTAAGGTGGTGTCGGGCTTTCAATGGTTGCTCTATGCATCGTTTGGGCTTGCAAAGGTCTTTAGGTCACTCTATATATACTCTTATGTATGTATGTATGTATGTATGTATGTATAAGGGTATGTGTGAGATTTGGCCTTGTTCACCCCATAACTTTAGTAATTTTGAAGTTGAAGGGTTGAAATTTTGCATATAGGTTGTCAGCTACGATATCTTGGATGGTATTGAATATGGGTCAAATTGACCGGAGGGGTGGCGCCACAGGGGGGGCCCCCAAAATGGCAAAGTGTGAGTTTTCATCGGATTGACTTGAAATTCGGTATGTAGGTAGTGTTTAGTGAGTAAATGATTATCCTGAAGTTTCAGGAAAATTGGTTGGAGGGGGCAGCTACTAGGGGGCAAAAACATCGATTTTCAGGGCTGTTCACCCTATAAAAAGAGTAATTTTTGATAAATTGAATTGAAAGTTGGTGGGTAGGTAGTTATTGATGAAATATTGGATGGTATTGAATTTCATGAAAATTGGTTGGGGGGTTGATCCACAGGGGGTGGAAATGTGCTATAAATGTCTTGTTCACCCCATAACTTTAGTAATTTTGAAGTTGAAGGGTTGAAATTTTGCATATAGGTTGTCAGCTACGATATCTTGGATGGTATTGATTATGGGTCAAATTGACCGGAGGGGTGGCGCCACAGGGGGGGCCCCCAAAATGGCAAAGTGCGAGTTTTCATCGGATTGGCTTGAAATTCGGTATGTAGGTAGTGTTTGGTGAGTAAATGATTATCCTGAAGTTTCATGAAAATTGGTTGGAGGGGGCAGCTACTAGGGGGCAAAAACATCGATTTTAAGGGCTGTTCACCCCATAAAAAGAGTAATTTTGATAAATTGGATTGAAAGTTGGTGGGTAGGTAGTTATTGATGAAATATTGGATGGTATTGATTTTCATGAAAATTGGTTGGGGGGTTGATCCACAGGGGGTAGAAATGTGCTATAAATGCCTTGTTCACCCCATAACTTTTGTAATTTTGAAGTTGAAGAGTTGAAATTTTGCATATGAGTTGTTAGCTATGATATCTTGGATGGTATTGATTATGGAACAAATTGACCGGAGGAGTGGCGCCACAGGGGGGGGGCTAAAATGGCTAAGTGCGAATTTTAATCAAATTGGCTTGAAATTTGGTATGTGGGTAGTGTTTAGTGAGTAAATAATTATCCTAAAGTTTCATGAAAATTGGTTGGAGGGGAGAGCCACTAGGAGAAAAAAATGTTGCTAGGAATGGGTATTGGTGTGATTAAAAGAGTTTTGCTGATTTTTTTTCAACTAAATTTCCAATTTGTCTTCATCCTTCATCACTTTTTTGTACTCTTTAAATTGTTATACGAGTAGCTTGCTAAATTTTTGTCTTAAGATTAAGAAATTTATCTCAAAAGATGCAGAATTATTTCATCTTTCAGAAAAACTTGAAACAAGTTTTTTAAATTTCATAGTAATAACTCAAACCAAACTATTTTTGTAAAAATCATAATTTTTTCATTTCTTAACAGGCATTTTTTACTCTTTAAATTGTCATATCTTGCTCAGTTTTGTCATGGAATTATGAAGTTAGTATCAACAAAATTGATTCTTCTTTCTGAATATCTTGGAAAGTAAAATTTGTTAATTTTTTCAAGTACAAATTAATTTTATTCAATTTATACGTTTTGTTTGACTCTTGTTATAGGAAAACCTGCTTTACTAGCGTAGCTTGCTACGCTAGAGTTTTTGGACTTACACCACTTTCGTTCTGGGGGACTCATTTTGTTCTTAACTGAGAGACCAGCTGATCCCTTACTGAAAGACCAGCTCGTCTCTGACTGAAGGACCCTGATCCTTAACTGAAGACCATTTGGTTCCTAATTGAAAAACCAGTTAGTCCCTGACTGAAGAACCAGCAGGTCCCTAATTGAAAGACCATTTGGTCCCTAACTGAAAGATTATTTGGTCTATGAGAGAAAAACTAGCTGGTCCCTGACTGAAGGACCACTTGGTCTACGAGAGATAGAACAGCTAGTCACTAACTGAAAAACCAACTGGTGGATTATTCTTGCTGGTAACCCAAAAGTGAGAAGGAAATTTGTTACAACTTCACACAAGCTACTGTAACTTCACATCCCTTCCTTATCACCCCAAACCCTTTTTATGAGTAAAACCCAATAGTATATTTTACCCAAATTTTGAAATTTGGCAGCAGCAAAAGCTCCTTTGCAAAAAGTAAAAGACTCCAAAAACTTACCCCACCTAAGCAAAATATACATACTGATATTCATTTCATTTCAAAAAGCGTTTATTTTACAGTTGATGTTACAATTACAGAAAAACTATGTACTCCCCTTGTCCCACATGTATAAGTCATAATTTTTGGCAATGTAAAAACAGACAACACCAAAAATATGCAACAATTTTCAGGCTACGTAAACCCAAGATAGTGGTCAAAGGTGGTTGGAGGAAAACAAGTGTACAAACTGAAAAAATTGGAGTTAGAATATAATTGAAAGTTTTTTGGAAAGAAGAGGGTCTAGGCTGTCGCATAAAATTGAATGACATGAAAAAGAGCCGAAGTGGTTGTCTAAGGCCCTTCTTTATGGCATAGGTTTAATTTAGGTTTTACATGTGAAAAAATGAAGTAAGATATTTGCATTTCTTATTAATTCTCTTACCTTGATCTTTATCTTCATCATTGTCTTCAGCATCAGAAACACTGTCAACGTCATCATCTACATCATCATGTGCTGCCGTCGTATGATCGGCTTCACTCCCTGAATGATCACCACCACCTTTGGATAAATTTAATACAGGACTATGACCTTCTGAGGAGCCTATGAACAGATACCATAAAAAGAAAAATATGTCTTTAGTCACCCACTCTTCAGTTTTTCACTTATAAACAGAAATCAGTTGAATTTATTTAAAATTATTTTGCGTCTTTCCTAAAATCGATTCAACCATCGATAACCAAATTTTCATACTTCAATTGAAATTTCCAAATTTGTCGCAGTTTCTTGTGAAAATTGGACATTTTTGAAAATTATAGTGTATTTTTGGAAATTAGGCCAAAATAAAAAAAACTCAAAATGCTCATAATTTCATTTTACGTAAAATTTTGACCTTTGAAATTTTGCTAATGACTGCTGCATCTGGAGAGGGGGATGGATTAGCTTGTCAATGTCTCAAATATGCCTCCTTTCCTTCCTAAACCATCTATCCAGCTCCCCAATGGATCAGCTAAACGTGAGAGCCTCTAGAGCTTTTTTCTCCTACTTTTCTTCAATTCTGCTCAATTTTTGAAAAATTGACTGGCAATTTCAAAATCGATATTTTCAAAAATGCTCTCATCAGGGATACCCATCCGTAAAGTGTTTGGCTACTCAACCTCCTGAGATTCCTCCCCCCCCCCCCCCCAAAAAAAAGCAAATTCAAAAATCTGATAACCCTTACCATTATGCGAACTCAGGTCTCTTGGTTTATTCTCCATTGATAGCACTCTTTCGACATCTTGTCGTTCTTCTCTTAATCTAGAAAGCAACAGAAAAAAAGAACATAAATTACAACCAGAATAATTAAACTCATTATTACGATATGGCAGCGTAAAAAAAGAGTAATTTTACTAGAGGGGTCGTATGTTGACACGCACTTGATAAATATAAACGAGCGTATCACAAAAATAGGTGACGTACAACCCACTATAAAAATAATATGTCAAAAAAATTGGCGACATTTTAATTACACATTCGTCGTGTATGAATAACTTAGGTTTTTTTTTCACTGTTCATGCCACGACGTAGTATAAGAGTACGTGATAAAAGAAAGAGCATGGAAAAATTCAGTATTATCGTGGTGTCACCTGCCCTCTGGGAACACCAGCAAGTGTACAAATAAAAATCGACAATTTGTCAAAATTAAGTACTTCTGCTTCGATTCGAAATTTGTTACG